TGCTAGCTCACGCGGCACGGGTCCCTGGGGAAGAGCGCCTGGTTGCGCATGTTGATCCAAACCCGACGCGGAACAATCCATCGAGGGAGGACCTTGAATGGGTCGATTCGCTGTGCGCGGACTCGAACGATTTGTCTACAGTACAGTTGGGTGCGCTGCGTGCGTTGCTGATATAATTTTCTGATGTGTTCAGTAAGCATAAATATGACATTGGGTGCACGGACCTGTTGCGCCACCATATTGAAACAGGCGATGCGGCACCGGTTAGGCTAAATCCCTTCCGGCTGAGTCCTGTTGAGAAGGAACACGTTCAGTCAGCCGTCAACGATATGCTAAGGGCCGACATTATTTCGCCTTCCTCCAGTCCTTGGGGGGCACCTATTGTGCTGGTTAAAAAGCAAGACGGCTCCTTGCGATTCTGCGTAGATTTCCGTCGCCTGAATAAAATATCCGTGGCTGACGCGTATCCGCTCCCCAGAATGGACGAGTCCCTCGATGCATTGTCTGGTGCGCGATATTTTTCAACTCTTGATTTACTGTCGGGATTCTGGCAGCTGCCACTCGACGATGAGTCTAGACCTAAGACAGCATTTCGGACTCCAGGGGGCCTGTTCCAGTTTAACCGGTTACCCATGGGACTTCACTCCGCTCCTGCGACGTTTCAGCGCCTTATGGAATTGGTCTTGTCGGGCTTGCAATGGGAAACTTGCTTGATTTACCTGGACGATGTCATTGTTTTCAGTAAAACGTTCGAGGAACACCTCCAGCGGCTGAGAGGAGTATTTTTGCGGATGCGATCGGCTAAATTAAAGTTTAAACCGGCCAAATGCCACCTTCTTCGTAAGTCCATGAGATACTTGGGACACATTGTCGATTCTTCGGGGATCTCTACCGATCCCGCGAAGACGAACTGTGTCAGTTCATGGCCAATGCCCACGTCGGTTTCGGACGTGCGCAGTTTCATCGGTTTTGCTTCGTACTACCGCCGATTCGTTGAGCATTTCGCCACCATTGCAAAACCCTTGCACGCTCTAACGGCAAAAGGAGTCAAGTTCCGATGGGGACCGGAGGAGGAGGCCGCGTTCTGCTCCCTCCGGAACGCCTTGGTGGGTGCCCCGCCCTTGCGTTATCCTGACTTTACAAGTCTCTTCTTGCTAGACACGGATGCTAGCAACACGGGCATTGGGGGGGTGCTCTCACAGGTCGTCGGGGGAGTCGAAAGGGTGGTCGCCTATGGTAGCAGGGTTTTGTCGCCGGCGGAGCAGCGCTACTGCGTCACCCGTCGCGAGTTGCTGGCGATTGTTTTTTTTGTGCAGCAGTTTAGACCGTATCTCTATGGCCGTCACTTTACGGTCCGGACGGACCACGCGGCGCTTCAGTATTCATTGAGGATCGCCCAGCCCTCGGGCCAATTGTCACGGTGGTTGGAAGTCCTCCAGGACTATCAGTTCACGACCACATACCGTAAGGGGTTGCGCCACACTAACGCCGATGCCCTGTCGCGATTGTCGCCTTGTCACAAATGTGCGTGCTTGTTGGGATCGGCGCGCTGTAAACCGCCAGCTGCGGAAAGTATGGGGGTGTTGGCCGCTACCCCGGATGCACCGATCGGTAAAGTTCCTGCTACCCCTGTGGGAGAGGACTCGCTGCTCTCACTGTCGCTGATTGAGTGGGGCCATCTCCAAATGGCTGACAGCTCCCTGCTAGTGTAACAGGTTCCGGAGACACTTGTAGAGGTAACTTCTTTATTACAATACACCACTTCAACAGTCCAACGCTCCAACAGTCCTGATACTCTGCTACAGCTTAGGTACACAGCCTAGCTACACAGCCTAGATACTCTACTCTGGCTACGCTCCGGAACTCGCCCTCACAAGGTCGTAGCGTCGGGAGTTCCAGAGTCCCAGCGCTGGCTCTCGCAGCATCCCAGGGTCTTCAGATGGCTGGTCGTGGGTCTTGGGTCTTGAGTTACAACTGGGCCCCGATCGTCCAGGGAGCTCCGCTTATATGCCCAGTCCTCAACGAGGGGTGGGGCCGTGTGCGCCACCAGACATCCCACAGAGCACACACAGCCCCCCCCGTTGGCGGCGCCCAGAGGCTTAAGCGTCTGGACCTCCTGGGAACCCAGCGCCTGGCGCCCAGGGGATTACGCGTCTGGACCCACCTGGGAACCCAGAGCCTACAGCAGCCCCTCCCTTCTTATGTCACTACACTAGCGTTGCGTCGCAGGGCGGGGGGTCCCGAGGAGGGCCGGGAACGAACGGGTTCCTGGGTACTCAGGCAGAGCCTGTTAATGAGATAGGACAATTTGTCTCGGCGCCACGCACTCGTGGTGCCTTCCGTTGTGCGGGGGAAAGTTGTCCTGGCCGCGCATGAACGCCTCTTGCATTTGGGGGTAAACAAAACGCTTGCTCTGCTTCAGCGTGACTATTATTGGCCGGGGATGGGAAGTGATGTGGTGAATATCCTAAAGGGGTGTGTTGAGTGCGCCAGACGAAAACCACCGCCAGCGGCGTCAAATCCACCACTGCAATCTATTCAGGTCTCGCGCACTAACGAGCTCGTGGCGCTCGATATTTTGGGGCCTTTTCCAGTCACGCCTAGGGGTAACAAGTACCTGTTGGTTGGTGTAGAATACTTTACCCGGTGGCCTATGGCGTGGCCACTCGCCAACCAGTCGGCGGCAGCTGTGACGGACGCCTTTGTCCAGGGCTATGTTCTGGACAAAGGGGCTCCCGAACGCTTGCTGACCGACCAAGGGAAAAATTTTTCAAGTAAATTGTTGCAAGAGGTGTGCGACCTATTGGGTACTAAGAAGGTGCGTACCTCCCCGTACCACCCACAGACAGACGGGATGGTGGAGCGACTCCACAGGACTTTGACTTCTATGCTGTGCCAGCAGGTGTGTGAGGCACATGTTGACTGGGACCTGCAGGTCCCTGGGGTCCTCGCCGCGTATAGAATGGCCCCCCATGCAGCAACGGGATTTTCCCCATTCTATCTGATGTATGGTCGGGAAGCCGACCCGCCCATGGAAACGCAGCTGGGACTGTCCGCGCCACGAACGAATTCGAAATTGGCTGAACATATTAAATTTAACATTCATAAGCTGACCGAGGCACGGGAGGCCGCACGGCTTAATTCGCGGGCTCGCCAAATTGCCAACGAGCGTTTGCGTGCACGGAAGGTGTCCGTGCACAACTGGAAACCAGGCGACAGGGCTTGGCTGCACTGCCCTCAGGCACCTTTGGCTACGTCGCCTAAATTGTTGAGGCCATGGCGGGGACCCGTGGAGGTCGTGCGGGTTGCACGCCCCCAGTGTGTTCAGATAAAATGGGGAAAGCGCCGTTGGTACGTTCAACCCTCCCGACTGAAACCGTTCTCGCCTCCATATGGCCTCCCTTTGTGTCATGAGGGCCGAGCATGTGACGTGACCGACGACCTAAGGGGGGAATTGTCTCCGCCTGATCCGCTCCCAGGTGTCCCGGAACTGACAGCTGCCGACCACCGGCGGCTGGATCCCCGCGGCGCGACCGGTCCTTCCAGGCCCGATCCGCGCCTTCCAGGGCTGCCGGAGCCACCAGACGGTCGTCAGCGTCCCGTCCCATACGATGGACCGGCCAGGCGGACTCGCGCTCAGTCGCGCAACTTTTCGTGACCAACCGGCTGAGGAGCCGATGCGGCCGGAGAACCTCGTCACTGCGTTCCCCGTCCGCTCGGCCGCTCTAGCACCCCGGTGGGGGAGCGAGCGGAGGGGGGGGAGATCGATAGTCTCAGAGACACTGGACACGTTCTTTTTCTCGGACTTGCTTTTATTGCGTTGTTCGTCGGTTTGTACATAACTTGTTTTCTAGGTGTTGTGTATTGTTGTTGGTTTTTTTTTGTGTGTTGTTTGTCGGTTTGTACATAGGTTGTTGTTTGGTGTTATGTCGTTGTGTTGTTGTTGTGTTACGGGGCACACTGGGGGGGGTTGGGTTTTTGTTGTGTTACTATTGTTGTTGTTGTGTTGTTTAGCAGCCGGGCCGGCTGCGAGCTATGTGGGAGGGGGTGATGTAGTGGTGATACGCGCTGACAGTGGGGATCGTGGGGCAGCGCGTGGTGATTGGCTGTGTGCCGGTGACGCGCGCTGACGGTGAGGGATCACAGGGCAGCGCGGGGTCATGGGTTATGTGGTGGTGATTGGCTGTGTGTTGGTGACGCGCGCTGACAGGGAGTGATCGTGTGGCAGCGCGGGGCGATTGGTTGTGTAGTGGTAACATTTGCTGGGAAAACGGATCGTAGGAACAGCGCGCCGTGATTGGTCGACTAGTGGGCGCTCACATCGCGGTCCGCAAGAGGGCTATATAAGGCGGTGCGCGCGGGCGCTCGGGGAGTTGGTGACCAGCGAAGACTGAAGACGGCGGAAGAAGAGATAGGGCCCTGCGGCACCTAGTCCCGCTGTCCTTGTAAGGACCGGGGCTCTGTGTGACCCAGAGGCGGGACCCTGGGACCTCGGGGCCGAACGTCCGTGTGAGGGCCGGCTCTCGGGACCCAGAGGTTGTGACCCATGCCCAAGCTGGGGTGGGTCTGTAGGCTCCACGGACGTTACGGGGCTGGAGTGTAGTGTGAGCATGCAGTGTGAGCATGCAGCGTGAGCCATAGTCACTACACGTGTCAGTGGAGTGTGTAGTGGGAGAGGTAGTGACAACACGTGTCAGTGAAGTGTGTGTAGTGTGAAGAATAGTGACCACACGGTGTATCGAGACAAGTCAAAGTTTAATAAAAAGTGTGCTACCCGTCAAGAGGTTTCCTGCCGTCATTCCGAATACTTCACAAAGACAATGCAAGTATCAGAACACTTATAGCTCGAGTCGAGCAGTTATATTCTTATTTTTCATAGTTTTGGAAACTGGCAAAAAGGTCCCATAGATATTTTATCTCTGTCAGGTTTCAGAATATTAAGGTTTAAAAACGATTGAATAAACATAGAGAAAATGTGAGCGTGCAGTTGGAGACGCCACCTCATGAGCTGGCGGATGCCCGGGTGTGGGGAGACGATGGTGGAGGTGGTGTAGTGCCCAAACCAAAAGGTGTGGTTGCTGCTTTGGCTCTCCTCCTCCAGTCGAGATAGCTCCTCCATTTTGGCCTGAAGATGTTCAGGCAAGCATTTACAGGAGAGACGAGAAAAAACACAAAATAATTCAGTTGATTCACAGAGAATACGTGAGGTGCAGCCACCCATTCATTTCACAACGAAGCAAGGAGACTCCTTTAAAAACAACGTTAAAAATATCGTGTAATTTGCACAAGTTTGTGAAAGAAAGCTTTGGTCATGGGTGACAAAACTATATTGTAAGAAATGCGATCAAGTTCTGGCCTTTACGACGAACATTGAAGCCGGATTCGAAAGAAAAGTCAAGACCGGTGCCACGTTCATCGATTTGTCTATGGCTTACGACGTGGCTTGGAAGTAAAGCCTCATGTTGAAGCAACCCCCTGCCATGCGTCCAACGCTGTGGCGACCGCAGGATGCGAGTTGACCTGGGGCTGACCTGGACAAGCACAGCAGTGTGCCTCGCACCCTGAAGAGCGGGCTTCCCCTGGGGTCTGTGCTCCCGGATGCTATTCGACGTAGGCACGAGCGATGCGCCACAGACGTCGTCCCGCAAGTTTAGTGCGCGCAGACTCTGCGTGGTGGAAGCCACTCTCTCAACTCCAGCCTCAACATGAGAATCGGGTTTCCCCTTTTTTTCTGGCAACAAAACAGGTGTTAAGATAGATTTTAAGCTTTCGTGACTGCAATGATTCATACGCTTTGGTTTTTTCGGTAAAGTCACGTAGGTAAAAAATAAATAAAATAAATTAAAACAACTAAATTAAATCACGACGTTTCGGAGGCAACACAAGCTTCCGTCTTCAGGGGGAACCGTTACAGCCAAAGTCACTGTAGTATGTGAAGAGAGCTAATAGAGAACACTAATAATACAAAAACACTAATAAAACACCAAACTGAAACCTTTTACAAGGAATCATGTCTGCATTAAACACAATAATTGTGGTCAGAATGAAAACAAAAAACATACTCTGATAATATATGCATTCTCCTTGAAACTGATTGGTCCACACCAGAGACAGCTTTCTTTGATCCAGCCTCAACGTCATAGCGGGGTGTTTCCGAAAGTGGTGGCTGCGACCGAAGCCACACTTGAACGTAATTCCGGGCGAGATGTTAACTACCTCACCTGGCATACAGAAGGTCGTGAGTCCGATCCCACCACTGACACCTGCTGTATATTTTGAGTTTGCGTGTTCTCTCTCCCCGTGGTCTAATGGATTTTTCTCCGGATCCCCTGATTTTCCCCTCTACATTTAGAATCCACGTCACGTATTTAGAGTATATGGCTGCTATAAATTTCCACATGATGATAAGCGACTTCATTGAGCTATCATTTTTGATAGCCACGTCGTTTCTGAAAAAGATCTGCATAGATAGCTCAGTGGGGCCTTACCTGGTAATATAAAAAACATGCATAGTTCAGTTTAGAAAAGGTGCAATGTAACCCTGAGGACGACCTTCCTTTGTCGTGACCCCCTAACTACATGCTCATTTTCAACCAACACCTAACAAATGCCTCTGCCAAAAGCAAGGCGCGGATGAACCTCGTTCGAAAGTTATCGCGGCACGAACCGGGGGGGTGGTGCCAGACATCTCAGCGCTTCGAATGTCGGGGTCACTGCCCTGGTGTAGATGACCGCAGAGAAGTGCGCGCTCTAATTTGAGCAAAAAAAGACACCCACTGTCGCCTCTCATTGATGTCCCAACCGAACATCGCCATGCCATCTATCACGGGAGCTTTAACATCTAAGTCACTAGCTTGGCTTACTCTAACGTCAATTGTGGCACCGCCGCCAGATATTTGCTGCAGTGCTGCTCTAAGGCTCCATGAACTGCGCCGACAGGGAAGCTGACACAAAATCTGCAAATGAACGGCGATCTGCCCAAGCCAACATCGGCGTTGCTCCCTCGACATCTACGCGTCGCTGGCATCACCATCAGCCTCTCGAATCATTTGAAGATGCTCAGTATCAACGTGGACTCTACAATCTCACTGGACAGGCCACATCCTCAGCACAACCAATGAGCGGAAGTCACCGTCTCCAGGCCATATGGCACGTTCGCGCCAATGTTGACTGTGGCCAAAGCAAACACTGTTGGCTTGCAGCATTGTCGGCACTCTCCTCGATTCTAGAAATGCAATCCTTGCTCGGACATCAGAAAAAACCGGCACATTTATATTTACGCACACTAACCCAAAAAGCAACATTTATGATGATTGGTATTGGTCGCGAAAGCCTACGTATAAAAAATTATCAGATAAAAACCCAACAAACTTCAGCGACCTCCCAAAGCAATGGATCTCGTGATGTCCTGGGCATTAGGCGTGACCACACAAACTTCCATGGCTTCGCGAAAAAAAATGTTTTACTGGCTCCTTCATCAAATATAGAATGTGGTACAAAATTGCTACGCAGTGCCAGAACGCTTTTTCAGGGTCTCTCTCCATAACGCATCCACCCTGCTCACTCCATTGACCACAGCCAACCACCGCAGTCCTACAAAGCACGTCGAACAATCTGCTCATCGGATCCAGAACCAGGCTGAGCGGCGTTTCTCTGCGGCGTGTACAAAATTCTTCACCACATGTCATGATGGGCACTGCAAGATCCGACCGTCCAGTGCACTCTGAGCTGCATTGATTTCCGGTTGCTGAACGAAGCCATTATAAGGTCGCACTCATTACAAACAAAGTGCTTGCCACAAATGAACCACAATACCTTGCCGATCTCGTCAAGGAACAAACCATCACCACGCAAACTCCGGTCATCCTCGCAGTGGCTTTTGGGTAGCAATTAAACAAAGATGATCACCGCATTGCGCACTTTCGGATGCGCTTCTGTGGCCATCTGGAACGCTCTTCCATCTGATATTAGGAAGCCACTGGAGCTGTGCACTTTTAAATCTAGATTGAAAACTAATTTCTTAAAAACTGCTTTTTGTGTTTAGTTTGTTGTCCTTCCCCCACACCTCAGATTAGCACGGTTGGCTACGTACGGTGTGAAAGAAGTTCAACATACATACGTAGATGCACTCATCCTCTGTACCTCTCTCTCTCTCCCCCACTGCATATATGCAGCAGCATCCAAGAATCATCCACCTTCAAGCAGCAGCACAAGGCTCACACCTGCCAGGTGGCATATGGGGGGTCTGAGCTCTGGTTTTGTGCCTCCAAGTTCTCGATCGTGCAATTGCGTCTGATTCGTGAAATGTGCACTAAAAATTGTGTTTATTATTATTATTATTCCACATCCATGGCTGAGTTCCAGAACTGGGCCATTGTGGAAACACGTTGCACAAACTCCATGATGCGAATGTCAGCATCGAAACGGCGTGGACCGAGCAGTAGGCTTCAAGCAACGCGCCCAACAATCACCTGAACAGCCAGCGACCCCCCCACTGGCTTGCCCGGCTTTTTTCATAAAACAACAAAACAATGGATGGCAGTTAACCGGATCGGTACAAAGCACAGAAGACGCGGATACCCAATGTACAAGGGGAGAATAAAATAATCTCGTCTGTGTGCAACTGCGGTTACAGACACTGAAGCACGGTGCGTGTAACTTCGCACTGCCCAAAATATAAATTGGAAGGCGGTGGGCAGGCGTATCTGAAATTCACGGATTCTCAAAGCAATGAAATGGCTTAACCGCTTAGAAAAAGAATCTCTCAAAGTTGCTCTTCATTGGCCATACAAAATAATTACAATAAATTACAGTATCTCTATCTCACCTGCTCTAAAGCTGTCTCAACTAACCCAAGGCTCCTTAACTTAGTGGTTTATGTTACAGGGTCCATAAGTAGAATAGGACTCTTTCTGCCCATTCTAAGGCATCACATGTGGCTCAAGGGTCCGATTACTGGGGTTGAGGCAAACTCACCGAATTACACGGTTCACAAAACTGGTCGAAAGCTTCCTCACATGGTATGCAGTTCATTCACTTGGTTACAACTCCTCTCCAACAGTTTATGCTCTCCCTTACCTGATCTACACCTCCATCAGTCTGGTTTCACGTTCCTCACCGTGCCTTTGCGTTCTTTACCCGTTCTGAGACTTTCTTATCCGGGGATGACGATTGGAACGACAGTAACTATCGCCCCCCTACTGGCACACTCATGCCCACTTGTGGGGTAAATTCAGAAGTCATCTTGTGCTGCGCAGAGACAGCTGCCACTAGCAGGGCCTTTGAATCGTATGAGACACCCTGGGATGTCCCAGCGTGAAGGGCGCTATTAAAAACAAATTATAAAAGATAATGATGGTCTGCTTGGCTAGACCACGCCTCTCACATGGTCTATGCTTGGCTTATGCAATCCATCCTTTCCTCACCTTATACACACTTCCCTCATTTGGTCTAGGACAGGGGTTGCCAACCAAAATATCAAGAGCCTTTTTTTCAAATTCGATAAAAAAAACCTCAATATTTCAAGAGCTGCAATGCAACGTGATGACGCATACAAGATGGTGGGGTCCTTAATAAACAACGGTCATGAAGCAAACCCGGATAAAGAGCCGCACGTGGCTCCGGAAGCACAGGTTGTCCACCCCTGGTCCAGGACTTCCTGGCCTGGTTCACGCTTCACTGACCCACACCTCCTGCACCCGGGGCACAGTCTGCTCACCTGGTCAAGGATCCCAAAGAAATTGATTGGCCGCTTGGGTCCTGGCGTGAGCGTAGCGTCAGCACAGATGAAGGAGTAGTTTCCGAACGGTGTGGTGAGGACGTGGCGGAAGGGGCCTTCCCTTCCCAGGGCTGAATACTTCCTGTAACGTCCCGACGTTGCATATGTTACAAGCACAACGTGACGACATTCAATGCTTGGAAACTGTTAATCCTATATTCACAAACGTGCAATGTATTTGAAAATTGTGCGAATCACTCCAAAATTTACTTAATTTTATTACACTTTTACACATACCAGTTACACACTTTTTTTAATCAATTACACTTTGAATTAATTGCTCCAATTTTGAATAAATGAAGTGTGCAGTATGGCACAGTATCCTCGTCATTATTTCCAATCAAAGCATTTGCAATATATGTGCAACACAGAACAGGACAGGGAACAGATAGCAGAGTGTACTTTAATGCCCCATCCCTCAGAAGGGATGATGATGGGCAATTCCCGCACCTCCCATTAGCACGGTTGGCTACGTATGGTGCGTAAAATGTTCAACATACACACTTACATACTTGAACCCATCAGAGCAATGGGAGCAGTGAATAGCAGAGAGTGGCACTAGAAACAAAATGTACTTAGCCAGGCAGGAAAAAGTTGTACTTGACTGCATTATAACTCTTGACCTCTCAAAAGAGTTGTAGAATTAGATTAAACGGAGCAACAACTGAAAAATAATACCCAAGTTAAATAATAACAATATGCTTCAATGGTAATTAAACTGCAAAACATGTGGCTTGCGAGGGTTTATCTTGAGGTAGTCAGACCCATGGCTATACTGTGTTGTTGTTTTACTCGATGACTGCTATTTGTCCTCCTAAATTCCACTCTCACATTCACTGTTGTACGAAGTTTGTGTTCCACCAGAAGATTAAGCGGCAACATCGCGACGACACCACTGGCCTAGCGAATGGACCTCAAGAGCCATCCTCCGCTTTGCTTAGTCTTAGTTTTTTAAACTCCAGTGGACTCTCGATTATCCGCACTAATCACGGGAAGGATGGCAGCGGGTAATCCGAAAAAAATCATTTTCCAAGGATCTCTAAGCTAAAACCCACTAATATAGGTTTAAATTATGTTTAAGTTTCTCTGCCATGACACAAGTTTCGTAAATTAAAACTCACAAAAAATTATGGGCAAAATCACCCAAACTCAAAATGAAGCACAATTGACAATTTCGATTGTTACAATTTAGATTTAGAACGAATACTAACGATCGACTGCTCGATGCGCGTGCTCAGTGATAATAACACTTTCCTGCTCCCGCGCAAAAATAATTATGACCACTAAGTGGATGATAGCAGAGCCACAACAATCAACATCAATCAAACTCTGCCCACTGTTGTAAAGATATGCAACTACTGTACTGTAGCGGCAATCACGAGGATTTTGGATTAACTGGAGCACATATTTGTTCGGTTTAAGCACGTGACCTGTAATAAATATTTCCAAGAATAACAATAACTGTGTTTATATGATTAATTTGAGCTTGAGGGAAAATCTATGAGTTGCTAATTGATCTCAAAATCTCAGGTGTGGTTAATAAACCGCACGCGGAAAATCGACTCGAGTGTAATTGGTGAGGGTTTCTCTGAGCGCAACAGCTCCCTCCCACGTGCAGAAATCCAGTGTGAGGAACTGGCCAAGCACCCGAGTAGGGCCCACACCTCATTCCACATTCTACCCCTCAAGTAAATAACATAAAGGGTACCGCTTTTACTGAAATGTCTTGTCATGTTGATGCGGTGATAGATAGTTCGATATAGTTATAGTCTGCCAAATCAGTATTGGCTTTAATCCTGGACCACTATAAGGACAAGACGCCATGATTCACTGTACCTATAGGCACCACCTGGACTACACCACTATAGGCACCACCTGGACAGACCACAACTGAAGTCCTCAAAACCCAGAATCTCCCTGAATGGAGGTGGGATTTTGTACACCCACAAAGATAAACAAGAGAAAGATCCCCCCGTTTAGCCTTAACAGACTTGGGGCAAATGCTGTTAGCGAGCACCTTTAAAGGCCGGAACAGCACACGAGGGGGTGAGTGGCCAGCACCTCGTCCAGCCAGCTGTCTCCCTAGTGGAAATGTTTACACGCTACACCAGGTACTCATTTGAGACCGATTCAGATAATCGTCACTGCTGTTGGCCGTGAGCGAAAATGGAACCCAGGTTGCCGGGTTCGTAGCGCAGCACACTAACCACTATACTACGGCTCCCCATTTTGCACACCCACGGACACCGACCCACACCCACCTGTAGTAATTCTGGATGCTGTGCAGGGAAGGTATGTTAAAGGCATCTGCAAATCAAAGAAGGAAGGGAAGTAAGCTCACCGTGGGCATTCTATAGCTCCTGCAACAGTAAATAAGTCATACTAATTACAGTACTATGGGGACCTCATTTGCCAGTAAAAATATGATAATTGGTTCTTTACCCTTCTATCTGGCAACAAAACTGACACCTTTTTACAAGGAGTCATGTTTGCATAGACCACAATACATGCAGTCATAATACAAACAAAAGACATAACTCTGATAATGTGCACTGTCCTTGAAGTTGATTGGTCCACACCCGGGTGTGGACCAATCAACTTCAAGGACAGTGCACATTATCAGAGTTGATTGGTCCACACCCGGGTGTGGACCAATCAACTTCAAGGACAGTGCACATTATCAGAGTTATGTCTTTTGTTTGTATTTATGACTGCAGGTATTGTGGTCTATGCAAACATGACTCCTTGTAAAAAGGTGTCAGTTTTGTTGCCAGATAGAAGGGTAAAGAACCAATTACAGTACTGTTAGGCACGGGCATGGTGGACTGTATAGACGTCATGTGCGTGCGACACCCCTATATCATGCAACGAGAGGTGGTGAATGCATGAGCCAGTTGTGCAAGTGGGTTGATGATCCATGTGTGGAGTCTATTCACTTCTCGCTGTTTTACTTGTGTCAGCACATAAGCAGAATCAGAAGTTTCTTATCCGAGTAAATTACCCTTTGAGCTACACAGCTCTTTTTCAAGAGTAACTTGGCCAGCAGACAGACTTGGCAGCAAGGGTTAATATACAAGATATAAGATAATAAAAATATAAACTAAATAAAACCAGATGATCTTACAAAACAATTATGTACATTGGCATTTGTCCCAGCAAAGAGGTTATTAAGCAGGCTGCTTATCTCATCCGGAAAGCCATTGACCAGTGGAGGCTCATCTGCTTTTGTTGTCAATGATTACTAAAGGTTCCATTGCTGTATCTTAACTTTGGAGCTTTCTTGACTGCAGGAATTATTCTTTGGTTCTTTTGGTAAAGTCACGTATAAAGAAAAAATAATAAATTAAATAATAGCATACGACGTTTCGATTGCAACACAAGCAATCATCATCAGGTATAATGAAATAGCGACATAAAATCTAACCAGAAAAAAATTATAGACAGACATATAAGCAGACAGATATCACCAAGATACACAGAGCGGGCAACACAGGTACAGAGAGGGGTGATCGTCTCTGTGGGGTGGCCTTAAATAGACAGAGGGGGGCGGAGGCAGCGAGAGGGAGGGGTTAGAGACAAAATTTACATGTCAATGAGCTCCAAAGTTAAGATTGAACCACTTCTACGGGGAAGTTCCAAGTTTACCTTTTTTCTCTCTCTCTGGGTTTTTTATTCTCTCTCTCTGCCTGTTTATTTAGTGTAATTTTTTTCTGTCTACACTCGTTTTTTGTCGTTCTTAGGTTCTGCTCTGTCTGGTTGTCTCCGTCCCTCTTGTTTTTTATGTTTTGTCTTTCTTTGGAATTTTCACACTTAAATTCTAACTTAGCAATCTTTGAAATACGTAATTGACCAGGCTATGCGTTAATTGTGTGTTGACCGACTCTCTGTGTCGTTTTACATAACATTTCGATACTTTGCTAGGTTATTTAATTTTAGTGTGTTTCTTTTCCTCTCCCTAAGCCTGCTCACTTCTTTTTGTACTCATTGACATGTAAATTTTGTCTCTAACCCCTCCCTCTCGCTGCCTCCGCCCCCTCTGTCTATTTAAGTCCACCCCACAGAGACGATCACCCCTCTCTGTACCTGTGTTGCCCGCTCTGTGTATCTTGGTGATATCTGTCTGCTTATATGTCTGTCTATAATTTTTTCTGGTTAGATTTTATGTCGCTATTTCATTATACCTGATGATGATTGCTTGTGTTGCAATCGAAACGTCGTATGCAATTAATTAATTAATTATTTTTTCTTTATACGTGACTTTACCGAAAGAACCAAAGAATAGTTCCATTGCTGTGTTGCAATTGCCTTGATGGTTCTGGACACACCTGCATTTGGTATCTGTACTAAAACAACAACAGCAATTCGCCACTAAGTGGCAGTGACGTCACTAAGGCGCTTGTGCCAGGCTATGTGCACTTTAAGGCAGGCCTCCTAAAACTGTAGATTCACTATAAATAGCGCCACATATCTACAAACTAAGCCTGGCTGCGTCTACAAACTAAGCTAGTCTGTATAGTTTGTAGATATGCACAGTTTTAGGAGGCCTGACGTATACGTACACGGCAACAATCAAGAACGAGATGCGCTTCGAGCTCGCCATGTACCACGTCGGTGTCGTTCCGTCAAACGGCTGCTGCCATCGATCATGCCAGGATCCGCACCAACACGCCGAAGCTGCAGGGCATGAACGACCTCATCGTCGCACAGTCAGTCCGTGTTCTGGTGGCCGTCAGGTTGCAGATGATCGCCAGGATAATCGACGATCCATCGGTGTGGGCCTTCTCTCTGGCTGGCGACGGCAGTACTCACCGCGGCCAGTCGTTCTTCGACCTGCGCACCCGCGTTTGTTACCGCGGCTTCCTCGTCAATCTGCACCTGGTCGCGATCCCTATATTCGAGCGTCACACTGCTCAGAACATCTTCCGCATGCTCGTCAAGTTCCTCGACGCGCTGTACCCCAACTGGCGCGCCAAGCTGATCGGCTTTTCATCGGACGGCGAGAATACGATGACTGGGCGTCATGGGGGGCTGGTGACGCTCATTGTGAAGGAGGCCGAGAACGACGTCATTCGAATCTGGTGTCCGCCTCATCAGATCGATATTGTGGTCAAGAAATCCGCCGAGTGCGTCTTCGATGGCAGCTGGGTGAAGATCGTGTACGACTTTTCGGTGTACCTCCGCGCCCAAAACAACCTGATCATCAAGATGAAGGTCAAGTGCCCCAGGAAGGCTAACCGATGGGCCAATCTCGGGAACGTGCTCAAGTTCTACAAGCAGTACCGCCGAGCATTGATCGAGTACACTACTGAGAACAACCCCGCGAAGCTGCCCACCGCCGATTGGTGGGTTCTTACCTACGCGCTCGCGCCCGCCATCGACGCCATCAACGTCACTATCGTCCAGCTCCAGAGCCAGTCGCTGCTCATCGCGCAGCAGGAGGAGCATATTCAGTCGCTTATCGGGTCACTCACCATTTTGTTCAATGTTGAGATTGTTGATGGCGTCAACAATCATGATGAGGCGTACGTGTCGTATCATGATCAGTCGATGCGCATCGCGTCTGCCGCGATCATTGCCCACATTGAGGACCAGGGATCGTTTGCGCAGGAGAGCTACGAGGGTCTCAATGAGGTCGACAAGACAAGGATCGTCAAGGAGATCTCGATATATGCGATGACGCTGATCGCGGGTCTCAATGACGTCAAAGCAGAGCGTAACGACACCAATCGAGTTCTCGACCAGGATGCGGCGCCCGTGATGCCCGCTCAGCTCGTGAAGATGCGTCCTGGTGTGTTCGTGAAGGACGTGCTGGCAGTGCGTCGCGTGCATGTTACGAAATTCTGGTCAGCTGTGAAGGTCGACATGGTCGAGGAGGAGCATCGCCAACTGGTCAAGCTCTACAAGGAGGACACGATCATTCACGACGCCATCAACAAGCACACCAACACGACGACATTCAACGACGCGTGGGATGTGCTGCCGAGTGGTTTTGACAACCTCCGCGCTTTCAGCGGCGGGTTGGCATCGGTGCTCGCCAACACGACGGCGGTCGAGTCGGACTTCTCGATACTCAAGTGGGAACTCGACGAGTTCCGCAGTTCTATGATGCATCTGTCCCTTGAGGGCATCTTCCAGACAAAGCAGCGTCGCCTCCTGGTGTCGTTGCTTCGTTAGCGAGCGTAAATCAATGAAACAATGGGGCTCTATAGATGATCTACATTTATTCTACAAACTAATCCTGGCGGTGTCTACAAACTAAGCTAGTCTGTATAGTTTGTAGATATGCACAGTTTTAGGAGGCCTGCTTTAAGGTCACCACAACTCCTTTGACACCACTCTCATGTGACTCCTACTCATGAGGGTGCCACCTCTCGCCGCCATGGGGAATGTGGGCTGGAACTACTGGATTTTAGAAAAATATGAATGGTATTATAGGTGAATGAATTTGGTTTGTTGACCATCGACCTCAAAGTATAACACCGTTTTCATTCATACACTTGCAGTTAAACATCTTCACATATTATAACACATACCTTTGAAATGACCTACAAAAATGTAATTTCAAATAGAACAGCAGATTTCGATTTTTTTATGTCACAACACCTGCATATTTGGAGTTTTTGTGTTCTCCACGTGGTCACGTGGATTTTTTTCTCCGGGTCCTCCGGTTTTTCCCTTCTCATTTATAAACATGTGTTATGACTCTGGACTCGAGCTGTAGAGGTTTATTTTATTGCACGTAATGTAGCTTCGGGCCCCGTCGTCATGAGATAATGCCAATGTGGAGATCGTATGACCGAGCAAACAGTGACGACGTGAAGACAGCGACGACGTGAAGACAGCGACGACGTGAAGACAGCGATGAAGGCTCTAGTCCCTCTCGACAGCCCCGAACTTCCCTTCTTGTTCTGCTTTTATCCTCGTGGATTCTCTGGGGGAATTTCCCCAGCCCTCTATTTTGGACACTCTGGGGAATTCCCCAACCAAGGACCTCTGGGGAATTTCCCAACCAAGATCCTCCAGACTTGCTTGCGCCTTGTCTTTGCATCCAGCCTCGCTGACACCCTGTCTTCACATCGAGACTTGCTGACAGTCTTTACACATGCATTGAGATTATTAGATTATTTTGTTGCTATAAATGTCCAAATGATGGTCGACTTCGTTGAGCTATCACTTGTGGTCAGGTTGCTTCTAAAATAAGTTAATACCTCAGTGGGCTTTGCCTGGTAGGATGGGGAAGGTTTAGTCGTATTTGTATGTGTTTGCGTGATTGTTTACCTTTCTTGTACTTTGAAATACTATTGTGATTTGGTATTGTTTGTTGTTGTAACATTCTTACCCACACCTAAAAGGACATCTATGAAAAAGAGCTTCATAGCTCATCGGATTCTTCCAGTATAAATAAATATTCTGATTCTGAACTAATTTCCACCAAAGTGGAATTTTCATATTCTCAGAACGGATAGATTTTTTATATGTATAGTAAAAGTGATTGATGATGATGATGACAGTGATAACGCAACCTCACCATGGTTGCCGCGAATGTCAATCCAGACAGTTTTCTCCAGAGCACGTGAGCGCTTGAGTGCAGTCTGGTAGGCCAGCCACTCCACCTCGTACTGCATGGATCCCACGCGATTCTCTGTCTTTGCATCTGTCAAGTCACCTGCCAAAAACCGGACTTGTTAAGACCTAAACAAACCCCAGCGCCAGGGTTCACACAATCACAGTGCCGTAGCCTAATACAACAGGAAGTGCAATTATAAAATCATAATGGCAAGTTCCAAGCGACCACTGTGTCGGGACTAAGCCAGTCACAGAGCCCAGATTACAATGACCAATTCAACTGCTAAAGCTACACTTCCGTGACTGTGTTAATGCATGGATGACCGTAGGATCATCCATGGGCCTAGTCCCACATATGGGCCATCAGTCCACAATCCTATACAGTATTCCATCGTTATTCACACACTTGATATTCACGATTTTGGCTATCTGTAAATCGCATCTGGAACTCTACACGACTGCATCGACAGAGAGAGAAAGAATGTGATGAGGTAAAGTCATGAAAGAGAATGTGATGCAAGAAAGTGATTAAATAAATTGATGAAATTAAGTGATGACGATCTGAATGACTCTTAAGTCTATCCAGATGTATCTATGTAGGAGCAGTAATGACATCATAGTGATCATCCTCATCACCATCATCATCATTATCGTCAAAAGCAACATCGTTACTGCGTCCTTCCACTCTGCAGCATCATCATCATAATTTAAGGTAAGTTAATTAATAAATGATTATTTAACACTTTCATATTTATTTTTATTTCCTTTGTTAATTCTAACAATTTTTCGCGTTATTATGACAACTTGTATGTATTCAATAGCTTATATATGAATGTATTTAAGACAATTCATGAAAATTATTACAGTGGAACCTCGGTATACAACCGCTTTGGAATAGGTCGATTTGGTATACGTTGTGTTTTTTTGAGAAAAAAATGTCTTTGGATACGACGTCTTGCTTGGGATACGACGCGTTTGCTAGAACTTGTATGGGTCGGGATGAGTAACGCGTACAGTACCCGCGTATGCCCCGTTCACGACTGAAACAAAGCGAGAGGGGCGGGGGGCATTGGGGAGAGGGGCAGGAGGTGTGGGGTCTGCCCCCATGGAAGGTGGAGCCCCGGGTCGAGGCGCACGCGACGTGCGGGGTTGAGGCACGCCACGTGACCAGCGCAACTGGCAGCAGTGTGGTCACGTGGCTTCTGTAGGCATTTTAGTAATTAGTGTCTAAATTATTTTATACAACCCCATTAATGTATAATATGCCACTTTAAATATAATTTATTTTCCTCTGGAACGGATTATTTCCTTTCCCTTTATTTCTTATGGGAAAAATCCGTTTGGTATAGGTCATTTTCGGTATAAGTCCTACCTTCTGGAACGAATTAACGACGTATACCGAGGTTCCACTGTATCTGCGAAACGTGCTATTCACGAGCATCTCTGGAACGTATCCCTCGCGATTAACGAGGGAAAAGTGTAAATATAAACAAAACTCCTTGGCCTAAGGTGTCACCACGAATTCGATACCCCTCAGCTCTTCTGTTCCCACAAGCCCCCCCCCCCCGTCCTCCACGTGGTCTGGGGCCACCCCAGGGACAATAGACCTGCACGTGGACACGGACTTTGGTGCAGGTGGGAGGGTGACAGCTGGGATGCTTTGGCTTCAAAAGTTCATTGTAGACTTTACACGTCTTCGCATAGATTTAAACATGACAAGAGGTGGTATAAAAATATAAGTAGGAGTAAAATATCTCCAGTGGGATTATAAATTGATAAATTTCTTTGTTTGCTGATACAGGGTCAAGAAGGGGATCTAAGAAGCACAAAGAAAATTAATGTTGAGGTTTAAGTTTTGGTCATCTATATATATAAAATCGTGAATGTCTGTCTGTCTGTGTGTGTGTGGATTTCGGCCCATACGCACTTTCATTGGACGACGGTTGCCCCTGGCAACGGCTAGCCACGCCTTCGCCGCTTTCATTGGACCTGGCAACGGCTAGCGACGCCTTCGCCAAGGGCTGCAGTTTCATTGGACGGCGGTTGCCCCTGCCAACGGCTAGCCACGCCTTCGCCACTTTCATAAGCTCCGTATTTAATTAAATAATAGCCATTACACAGTATTGTTGGAGCGCTGAGGGGGGGGGGGGGGAAGGCACGCCACCCGTACCCTGCCTCTTCCAAGCCGACAATTTTAGGCGAGGCCGCAGGCTTTGCACGCTACTAGGCCTCGACACCCACCACGCCACTCTGAGGTAAATTCATCAAAGTTTTTCCTACTCTTCACTACACCCCCACCACAATGTGTGCTATTAATATTACTTTTAAACCCAACGCGCCAACAATCGATTACTTTAATGTTACACTGTACAAATACTCATTAAGCTGGGTGAGCGTACTGCCAGTCTATCATGTACACTGTAGCCTGCTTATTAAGCTCGGTGAGCGTACTGCCACTCTATCATGTACACTCTAGCCTGCTTATGAAGCTGAGTGCGTGTACTGGCAGTCTATAATGTGGACTCTTGCCTGGTTATTATAATCGATTCTTTATATGTTCTTTGTACAAACAGTCATTAAGCTGCTTGAGCGACCCCAGTTCGATTCCAACTCACGCCCACCACCGCTGACGATTATTTGAAACGGACCTGGCCCTCCCCTAGGTCCACTCAGCCTCAAACGCGTAACTGCTGTCGTGTGTGAACATCGTCACTGGGGAGACAAAGGCGGCCGGGCATCGTGGATCCAAGTCCCGGGCGAAGCCGGGTCATGTGTATGTGTGTTTATGTGTATGTCTGTGTGTCTCTATGTATGTGTGTATGTATGTGTATGTATGTGTTTGTGTGTATGTGTGTGTGTATGTATGTGGGTTTTTTTGTATGTCTTTATGTGTATGTCTGCGTGTCTCTATGTATGTGTGTATGTACGTGTGTGCATGTGTTTGTGTGTATGTATGTGTGTGTGTATGTATGTGTGTGTATGTGTTTCTGTGTATGTATGTGTGTGTATGTATGTGTGTTATGTGTCTGTCTGTGTGTCTGCATGTATGTGTGTGTGTATTGTGTATGTGTTTGTGTGCATGTATGTGTGTGTTTGTGTGTATGTGTATGTCTGTGTATGTGTGTGTATGTGTGTGTATGTGTTTGTGTGTATGTGTGTGTGTGTATGTATGTGTTTGTATGTGTTTGTGTGTTTACGCTCGCATTACACAAATGTGTTGCAGGTCTAAGGCGTTCCTCGCGCAGCATTGCCGCTTTATTATTGCAGTCGTTTACTGCCGTGCGCACCCTGAAAGTCGTGTGTGTCTGTAGCAAGTGCGTGTATGTGTTCCTATGGACGCGCGCGCGTGTGTTGTGTAGGGGGAACGGTAGTGTAGTGCTTAGCGTGCTGTCTGTGTCTGTGTGTGTGTGTCTGTGTGTGTGTCTGTGTGTGTGCGTGTGTGGTGTGTGGGGAGCGATAGTGTAGTGCTTAGCGTGCTGTCTGTGTGTCTGTGTGTGTGTGTGTCTGTCTGTGTCTGTCTGTGTGTGTCTGCGTGTGTCTGTGTGTGTGTCTGTGTGTGTGTCTGTGCGTGTGTGGTGTGTGAGGAGCGGTGGGTGTAGTGCTTAACGCTACGCTGCGCTACCAACCCGGCGAACCGAGTTCGATTCCCGCTCACGGCCACCACCGGTGACGATTATTTGAACCTCCCCTAGGTCCACTCAGCCTCAAACGAGTAACTGGTGTTGCGTATTAACATCGGCACTGGGGAGACAAAGGCGGCCGGGCGTGGTGGATCCAAGTCCCGGGCGAAGCCGGGTCATGTGTATGTGTGTATGTGTTTATGTGTATGTCTGTGTGTCTGTATGCATGTGTGTATGTATGTGTGTTGTTGTATCCTAACCCTTCTTCCATAATTGAGATTAATAATATTTGATGATTTTTATATATTATCTTTTTACTTGTTTTTTTAATGAGTGAAACACACCAAAGCGCACCAAACTGCAAAACACCAGGTGTTGTTAAGTAATGAACGAGAGGAGGGCTAGGATGACAGAATTGCAACCTTGCTTCAAGGCAAAGGCAGTGAAAGGAGGCAGAGGCGCCTTTGTCTAAGTCATAACCACAGGAAGCCAGGAATCATCACTGATTGTGTGTTAGGGATTCCGAGCTAATTAGAACACGTGCACACAGAAAGGGAGGTAGAAGCACGCCTTGTTCTCCTGCAGCTGAGGAAACAAAGATAAACCCAAAGAGGCCTTGGACCTGAAATTAAGAATAACATTCCCAGAGCAGAAGGTTGGAGGGACAGGGGAGAGCTGATTTAAAAAAAGTGTTGTATATCTCTCAAGGCGGGCAGACCCAGCTAAATAACACGGCTGCGGGGGTCACCAGAAGTTCGCGTTCGCCTAGTTAAGACAAAAAGCTCAATAATTCTGTATTGCTATTAAAGTAACGTTAAAGTCGGAATTTAACAACAGGGTAGGCTAAAGTTATTGATATTCACACCCACTCCAATTAAACCAGGTCACAAGTACGCCTACTGAACCATCACCATCATTAAGTCAATATGAAATGTTATTTCCATACTTTAATGCTTTCTATACAACTCGACCCGAAGCATATGCATGAAAAGACAAAAGTAAAACTTATGGAAAAGCCAGGATAACGGGATGAATCACCACCAGGTCGAATATAAATACATAATAAAAAAACGATGTTAAACCCAGGGTCGGAGAGAAAGGGAGATCCCGGCCGTCTTTGTATCCCCGCAGCGCGGGAGGGGAGTGTGTGTACGCTCGGGGAGACGCCTCCACTTGGGTCGGGCACCACGATGGGAAACGACAGACCTTGGGTTACATGCGGAATCATGGCTGTGAAATAGTAAGGGACAAATGTTAACTTAAAACTTTTGGCCATTTCTTTGTGCGCCGGGTCGGAGAGAGCGTTGCCCCTCCCTCCAGGTGGTGCGAACAAAGACGCCTATGAGACATTTGTGACGTCTGTGTTTTGGGTTCGTGGGGAAGGCCAGACAGGAGATAATGTTGCGCCCAGACAGAGAGACGACCTCGAGGCAATTTGTAACATCTGATTGTTTGCTCGTGGGTTTTATGGAGGGAGTGT